TTACGTTGATGTCACTCGCAATTGATTCATTGGTAATGTATGCTTCTTAAACAGGGCCGTGGGGAACCCTTGTACATAAAGCGATTCCCCAATGAGATACAATGTGTGAAGCCCATTTCTGGTGTTCCTCGCAGGGACATTAATGGAATATTGCTCAAAGAACTCACTCACTAACTTCTTAAATACCTGATCACGTTTTACCAATCTGGACATAATTACACCTTTTCCGCTTCAGGAGTGAGTGACTTGGATTTAAACCCAACTTTGAACAGCATTTCACTGATATGACGGTCTTTCAGAGCGAGGAAAGCCTGAAATGATGTATTAGACGTCTAACATTGAGGAAATACCAACACACGATTGGGACGAGTCGAGGTTCGAATCCAAAAACGTTGGCTCCATTTACTTCGAAATCTAGACAAGCCTTTTTCCTTTCTCCTGAGGGTGTGACATACATGTTTTGCAGACAATAACAAGGAATGATGCTATATTATTCAAATTTACTTCGGTATATATCCATAATTAAAGTTTCTCTGCCCTCTCGTCACCGATTTCCACTTATCTATTCAAGTACATTTGTAGTTTACATCGGTATATTACCTTTTGAGACGAACTGTCTGCGGATTATCTTCCTACTAGGCATAGCCCGTGAAGGTCCGGGTTAGAATGAACCTTCAGTAACCCATGCTTGTCGTAAGAGGCGACTAACGGGATCGGGTGGTCAGGCTCACTGACTTGGTTGACACATGTCATCGGTTTCCAATTGCGCAGATCGATGTTCATGCTGTTGGTCACTGGATTATCTGGTCCTGACTCGATTATATACAGACCATCGCCATATAGAGGGAATATTGCGGTGTAAAAAAAAATTCACTCACTCACTCACTCACTCCTACTGACCATACGAGATCTTTGCTACTTTATTATCTATGAGACTGTTCATTTAAGATCACGTTACATGAATACATTTTCGTGGATGCCAACTTTAAAAACAAAAAGAATCAAACACTTTTTCAACAACAATTTCATTTTCATCATGAGCCAAAAAGTATAACAAGTGTACGCACTTTTTGAACACCTGCTGCTTGTATTTCGTCACCTTTGATTGATTGCTGGCGAACATAACAAAACATCTATATATTAAACAAATGTTATCATTAGTGATATATTTTTGGGTTATATACTAGTTATGAATACATATCGGTTGTAATCTAGTTGGAGTTGTTGACCTCTTTTGGCAGGTAACTCGGTACAAAAGGCTTTTGTCGAGTCAGTACATGACTTATGAATTGCCACTGTGACTCTCACATTTAACTTACTCACTCACTTACCGATGTTGAATTTGCAGGTGCCAGGAATTGATATAATAGTAACAGCACTGGGAGACCAGTTCCCTCTACTGAGAAGACGACGTTGGTTTACCCTCTGTGTCGTTCTTTCTACAGTGCTACTGTTTGGCCTCTTTTATGTCTCTCAGGTACGTCTTGTAGAAGGTTTTTCTCATGATCAGTTGACCCTAATTCAAATGGTGTTATTCCTTAGCTATGTAAAAAAGGTGTATACAATATCACTTTTACACACGATTCCAGACTTTTTAACACGCGGTGCCATTCATTTTTAGTCAGTTTGTCAGAGGAACTGCACTGTTGACACAAAGACCTGTAGCTCAACACCACAAGCAACCGGATGCGTGGCCAATAAAAAGGTTTTGTTAGACTCAAGAATCGAGTTTGGTAGATTTGTAACAAGTTAACTAAAACTTACATTGCAAAAAAACAGCAAGTGTATTTTTGACTGACCTTAAAAAAGCAATTTTAAGGGCGACATTTCCAGAACAGAAGCCATCTTCAATCGTTCTCATTTCACTGGTTTACACAACTCTGAACAGTGTCGTGTCTGATTTACACTGGACGACTAATATAAAAACCAATACCATTTTTCATTTTATGCTCACTGGAATCTGTCTCGTCGAATGGCACATTGATTTAGATCTAATTAGAGATGGCATAAATTCACGCTGTAGTAATGTGGGGCGGCTTGGTAGCCTGCTAGTTGAAGCGGGGTGTTCTCTTTGGTTTCTCCCCTTCTCTTTTTGCCTGCACGTATTGTTTCGGGATTAAAATTGCTGTACCATAGTAATCCGTACAACAATGGGGATGAAAGCTAAAGTCTGTTGTGGAAATGCAAGTATGCCAGCAATTACAGTAAACAGTAAAGTTTATCACATTTTGTTTGTTGCATATAGCACCCACAAATATACGAATATAAGTTATTTCGAAATATGGTGATATTTTTAATTTTACTAAGATTGCATGTAACATCATATGCGTCACATCGTTAAAGCGTCCGCTCGTCAGGCTGAAGTCCTGGTTACGATGTGATAAGCACAATTCTGGTGTTCTCCGCTATGATATTGCTGGAAAATTGCTAAAATAAAGGCGAAAACCATGATCACTCACTCACTCACAATTAGTGACGTAACTCAAGAAATGAATGCTGGCATATGTACTCTGGGCGCTTGTATGTTTGTGTACTTCAATGTTGCTTTTCATGCATGACCGAAATTTCAAGACATTTTAATAACAGAAACAAACTATAACCGTTATTTCACCTCGAGTGTGAGAGTTCTGAACAGCGCCAATGCTGCTTTTCACTTGAATTCATATTTCTAGGGTCCCAATCGTAAAAGTACCAAAATAATGGTACAAACGACAATCACAAGTCTGGTGCTGCCAAATTTAAAACGACCGAGTGTGGTTTTAGGCCGTTTTAACATTGCCTAAACACATTGTATCTTTGTGGAGAATCGAACCAGGGTGTTCAGCGTGACGGGTGCTACATGTACTTGTAAAACCCGCAGCCCCAACAAACCAGGAAACACATAGATAAATTAACTTAACCAATGTATAGTCTGCTGAATGGGATTGGTTCTAATGCATTCACAAACTGGTGTACATGACAAACACATTGATGTATCTGACAAACAAATTGATGTGTCTGACCATAACATTGATGTATCTGGTCAACACGTTGATGTAAACCTGATATTAGTCAAAAGGAAATTCACACTGCCATAACTTTATAGTAACGTACCTCAATCAATGAATGTTGGAATATGTACTCTGGACAGTTGCATTTTCCTTTACTTCTAGGGTGGGATATACGTGTTGACACTGGTGGACTGGTTTTCGTACTTCCCTGCCTTAGCGCTCTATGCCCTTCTGGAGTGCGTCGTCGTGGGCTGGTGTTATGGTAAAAATTAGTTGTTAGGACAAGGTTCTTGCTTTACTGGATCTCATTACCAACACTGTACAATAACATGTTCGTATGACAAGCACATATAGAAAAAATATATTGCGGTTGTGTTCGGGGATTCTTCATTTTTTTCCCAATACGATGCAAGTACTTGTTATTTTCACTCTGGTATTGCCTGAATTAAAAAAATGACACATTGTTACACTCTGATGTGTTGTCCGCGTGTAAACTACATTGTTTAGACTTATTCTAATGGGTGTGATTTTGTTGGATTGTGTAAAGTAAGATATGTTTTCAAGTTATCACTGATGGTTATGTTAAAGTTGGGGGAAGTTGTCTTTGGGGGAAACTCCAAAGATATGCACGTGTAAGATTATCAGTCCAACTGTGGTCATTGTTCTGTCAAACCAATGTTCATGATCTGGGATTCGAACTAGAGATTGTTGGATGATGGCATACCTTTGTGTTCAATCCGCGGAGTTGACGTGAAAGATTCATTTATAAAGATCATTTTGTCCCAATTTTTGTAAAATGTATTCTGTCATTTGTATGTAGATATTTCATATTAACAAGCAGAACGCGTGAAAATCTGGGTTAGAATTAGCCTTCCGCAAACCATGACTAACAGGATTGGGTCATTGTATCATTGCACAATGCATCATGATATTGCTGATATTGCTGTGTTAAACAACAAACAACATTTCCTCTTGCTTTCAGGGATTGAGAAAAAACAACCAAACAACCAAAGCAACAATCATACGGGATCAAGCCCATAGAAAATTACTGAACAGTGTATTGACTTTATTTTAGGCATTAAGAGGCTGGAGGAAGATGTCAGTATGATATGGGGGGAGAAGATACCTGGCTTCATGCATGTATGCATTCGCATCGTGTGCCCTGTGCTGATTCTGGTGAGATACAGCTTTAGGTTGTAGAATTTTAGGGTACATTAATATAATATCATAATCAGAAACAGTGGGTTAGGGGGTTACTTTAAAACAATAGGGACTGTCGGCTGACGAAGTGCCTACTTTTGTACAAATGTGTTGTGGACGCTTACGCTCACGTGCGAGTACTGGCTGGGAGGACGCGATTGTCAAGATCGTGCTTTGTCTGCTAGACGGCCGCCATGTTTGAAAAGGCCGTGATCAACAGTCGTGTCCGTTGTTCTAGGCACATGGTCTGACTGAGTTGGCCTGCCCATGGAACTGTAATCGTTAGTGTGCAAAATGCGGAATCATGTATTGATGCGCACATACAATCTCCAAAATATGATCCGGAAAATGACAGTCAAACGTCATGCAGCATCTGTAAAGGGGGTTATAACTTGACTTTAAGCGGGATGAAGGAGGGACGTTTTGGATTGTCAACTCAAATTTTACATTTAAATGTTCATGAGCAAGATAAATGCATGTTTTTTTTTCTCTGAATGTACATTCATACTCATCTGAAATGTGATCCTAACAGACCAATGTTTATTTAAAAACACAAGTCTTTTCATTTAGGCGACTATTCATTCACCTGTAATTCAATGAAATAATGTCTTCATTCAGTTATTGATCAGATTATCTACCGCAAACTATCATAAGTAAATGACCCCTGTGTTAGCCGTTTGACTCGTAGGACAGCTACGGGAGGCATGTTTTCGATTAAACGGTATTTATCACCAGATATATAACATAAAAAGTGTCAGTAGGTTGAATGAAATACTCCAATGGATTGAAAAGACTTTAATTTTTTCCCAGGTGATAATTGCCTATTCCGGGTATTCATACCGACCGCCCAAGTATGGGGACTACATCTTCCCAGCCTGGGCCAATGTAGTCGGTTGGATGATATCACTTGTAGCAGTCCTGCCTTTCCCCGCAGTCTTCATCTGGATAGTTGTCAACACACGTGGGACTTCAGTAAAAGAGGTATTTTCAAAGAATAAGCAACAACCTACAAGAAAGTGTGCATTTTATACCAGACGAATGAATAATGTTCTCCTAAACTTTGTCTAGGGACAGTATTCATTCACCACGGACTGACTAATTCATAATTCCAAGTTTCGAGTAAAATCTGTCCGATACTAGTTGAAATTTTAGAAGAGTGAATTAAGATAAAGAGTTTGAAATGTCAAAGCTGCTAAGAAATATCATTGAAGACAACTATGGTTCCAACGGCCTGGAGTAATCACTTAAGCACCTTTTTACATGCACACATATATACTTACGTATATTTGCTTACATAAAGTAAATATAATTAGGGTAAGTAAATATGTTATGTAAATGTTTTAGCACACATGAGTATTTTTACTCCTGTAAGTAGTTTACTTCTCCCAAAGAGGTGTAGTAAACGTATATTTACTCCACAAGTATATATTGTCATGTAAACGATCTCCTTAAGGTTTACTCTCATAAGCAAACCTATTGCATCACGTCTATAAAAATCGTAGTACATCACCTAAAATGGAGTCATGTAACAATATGTTTGGAAAAAGGACAACTAAGCGTTGCATATCGTGGACTGATGGGGAAATGCTCCTTCAGAATCCCAAGAAACACAAGGGATCAGTCTACACAATAGTCTCAAAAAAGATAAACAGTAGTGGCTATGAGAAATCTAATCATCAGTGCAAATTTCGAATGCATATATTGAAGACGTCTTTCAGAGACTGAAAGAACAACTGAAAACAAGCCGTAAAGGTAGAAAAAGTTACACAATGTTACAGGAAACTTTCTCCAATTCTCGGTGATCGTCCAGCAACTTCTCCAGTGAAAGTAGTTGAGAATATGAGCAGGAAGCGACAACTGACAGAACGTGGATCTGGGAGTAACTGTGAAAGTTATGAAGATCAGGATGAAGAAAACACACTGGAGGAAGATGCCGTGAACAGTGACAAAGAAGATAATAATGAAGAAGTGGTTGATGTCTCCAGCGTCGCTGTCAACAATACATTTGGCCCTCTAGATGACAGTGAAATTGATGATAGAGCCATGCCAGCCAACACAGATAACGGTACAACAGGAAAGAGAGAACTGGATGGCGATAAGGCAACAGGTCGAAAGAAAGATATCTCCATCAAGAAAACAAGGTTGGTAGATAAGATAACAAGAAAATCTAAACTAGAGAAGATACTGGGTTCGGTTATGTGTGGATTGACAGAGAGTAACAACAAACTTGAAACTACCCTTGTCACACTTGAAAGTAAAGAGGCGGACATAGAACTAAAAAAATAGAGTTAGAAATAGAGAACCTACAGTCGGAAGAACGTCAGAGGCGTGAGGAACGTGAACACAGGTGTGAGGAGAAGCGACAAGAGCGCCAGCATCAGTTCCGCATGATGGAAATGATCCTTGGTAGAATCAATGGGCAGCAATCTTCTCATGGAACCACACAACGCACGTTCAGGGAGCAGCAACTACAATCAGACACATCGACCAAGCAGCAACCATTCTTCTGTGTCATATGATGAAAAAGGGCAATTTTTATTACGACATCTGAATACTGACGTTAGTCTGTAATGACAGGCTGTAAATGTGGACATTTCTATTGGCAAAGTACCAGTTATTTATGATTGGTGTTTTGCTTTGAGGGTTACAGAGAACAATGTGTCCATTACAATGCTAGCTTCGTCATATGACCGAAATATTCTCAAGAACGACATTTAACCCAATCCCACCACGACTACAATGCAAAGTGTAATGTTTCCTTTTTAAGTTATATTTTAGTGTGTGTTTTTGTTGATAAGATTGCACCGTCAGAATTTTTCAGAGTGCATTGTCAGACTTCCAGAATTATGTTATATTGTTTCTGTTGATTATGAAAGAGCATTGTCAGACTTATTATTATCAGTTCTTTCATATTCTTTCCTTTTAGAATTACAGTTCTATCTGTTGCTTTCACCCATGGTTAAAAAATATTTTATTCTGCTTGGCGTGAAGACCGCCTCCGTGGTGTAGTGGTTAGAGCATCCGCCCGCAGAGCGGAAGGTCGCGGGTTCGATCTCCGACCGCGTCATACCAAAAGACGTTAAAATATGGTACTTGTTGGTCCCTGCCTGGCGCTCGGCATTAATGGGTACAACACGGACCGGTCGGCTCAGAGTCAGTATAATGTGTCTGAATGGGGTATTCGTGCTTCACTGCGGCGTGGTATCTCAGTGAGCTAGCATTATAAACGCAGTTTAAGTCTGGGCTAGTACAAGCAGCTGCACATACACATACACACGCATGCACGTCGTCATATGAGCGAAATATTCTCAAGCACGACGTTAAACCCAAGTTTACCTCACCTCACCTGTTTGGTGTGAAATAAAACGCAAGAATTATCTGAACTATTAAATAATAATAATAATATATAGAGATTTATATAGCGCCAATATCCAGATGAGTCCTGCTCAAAGGCGCTTTCGTATGAGTCTGACAAGGAAAGAGTCACTCGGAACTGTAACATGATTTGAAAAAGAATGTTTTCAACATTCTCTTAAATGCACAGATTTTCTCTGCACTTTTAATGCCCAATGGGATATTGTTCCAAAGCATAGGACCTGCTTTTGAGAAACACCTGTCTCCAAATGTCTTTGTCCTCGTACGTGGCACAACTAGTAACTGGGCACTACTAGAACGTAGGGAACGGTAGGGTTGATGGCACTGGATCAGTTCATTGATGTATGATGGGCCAATACCGTGAAAAGCTTTGTATACAAGCACAAGAATCTTAAATTCTATCCGTTTATTATTTTATTTAATGATCAAATAGTGCAACCATGAACATATAATGGTCATAAGTGTAGTTCAGAGAGTGTATAAGCGCCCTAAGATGACCGAAAAAAATGCTGCATGATGAGTCATATGAAAATAGATTCCAAATCCACATATACTTCTTACGCATTAACTAAAAAATATTGCCAGATCATTTCTGTGGTTGTTTGCAGTTGGTACAACATCACCATCAGCACAATCATAATCGTAGTCAGCATCTGCCTCAATCACCATGTCTACATATCTCTCATGTCTCATTTTACAAGGATTGTGGTGTACCACGCATGTAGTCACCGCTGTGCTGACAAACTCGACGTCGATATCCAGGATCTTCTGGATGCGCCGCTATCGTCCCTTAAGACGACCAAAGGTATTCTCAATGGTCACCCTTGCCCTGCTATGCCTGTAGTTGAATAATCTCTGAGCTGCAGTGGGGGTACCGATGTAAGGTTTCATTAGCCAGGTCTTCAACGGGTATGCGGCCTCTCCAAGGAGAATGATGGGCATAGTTATCACTTTATCCTGGCAGCAGAGTGTCTTTCGTCGACAGGGAAAGAGATCAATGGTTTCTCTTTTAAAGAATATTTCTGAATTCCCAAATACATCGTGCACACGACCTGGCCAGCCCACCTTGATATCTGTGATTATGTATTTGTAGTCACATGTTGCCTGGAGAATAATGGAGCATCAACCTTTACGGATGAGGTAATCACCATGAGCAACAAGTGGTGCCACGATTGGGATGCGGGTACCATATATTGCTCCTCCACAATTTGGGAAGCCCCAAACGTGTTCAGATCCCTTAATGCTCAGTCGGTGGAAGCTATTCTTCTTTATGGTGTACCACAGGGATCGGTTCTCGGTCCTGTATTGTTCTCTATGTATACCAAAGAACTTGGTGATCTGCTTTGTGAGAAAGCTACTAATCATCATCTTTTTGCTGACGATACTCAGGTGTTTGATGGTATTACCAGGCGCTGTGACAACAGTTCTGACTTGACCAGAATTGAAGATGCCATTGACCATATTGGTTCGTGGATGTTCAAAAACAAACTAAAAATAAATGAATACAAGACAGAGGGTATGATTGTTGGCACAAGAAACATGTTAATAAAATCACAACATGTTGAGTTGAAAGTTGGAAACATGGTCAGTCAGCCTTCTCTACATGTCAGAAATCTTGGCGTCCTACTCCAACCTGACCACTCCATGAAGAAACAGATTCTGGATATGTGCAGAAAATGTTACTTCCATCTCCGTAACATTGGACAGATCAGACATCTCCTGTCACAGGATGCTGCGTCTGCCCTGGTGAGAACACTGATTCTACTCACGACTTGACTATTGCAACAGCTTGTTGGTTGCAGCTTCACAAAAGTCCATCAAACACAGCTGCCCGCATAGTTACTCTCCAACCAAAATGCTGCCACATCACTCCCATCCTGTTGTCTCTTCACTGGTTGCCTATGGAGGCTCGCATTGACTATAAGATCCTAACACTTGCTTATCAGTCCATTCATGGTATTGCACCAGTGTATCTTCAAGAACTCCTCTCTCCTTACATGCCAACAAGAACTCTACGTTCATCCTCGGCTAATCTGCTCTGTGTACCAAAGTGGAACCTCAAATCATGTGGCTGCAAGTCTTACCAGAACATGGCATCAGTCAAATGGAATTCTCTCCCTGATGAACTTAAGCTGTCTCCAACCCTTGAAAACTTTAAGTGCCATCTCAAACCTTTCTTTACAAAAAGTTCTATGCACTTCAATAACACCTTATTGATTGTTAGTGCTATGAGCATACCTGGTGTGGAGTTTGGCGCTTTATAAATGGACACGTTATTATTATTATTATTATTATTATTATTATTATTAATTACATTTTCAAGTTCATCATCTTTTGGGAAAGTCACATATCTTGATGGTCCGATATAGCTGTACACACCGCGTGTACACATTTCCACGCAGTAGTTGTTCCAACACCATACAAATTGCCAACAGTACGTTACTCAGCATTGGATGCTATCCAATATTGGGCAATAGCCACTCTGTGGTGATGATCCAGAGGCTGCCTCACAGGTGCTACAGTGATAGAAAAATACGGACGAAGTTCATCACACAGGAAATTGAATGTTTCTTCTGTCATGCGAAAATGTTCAATCCATTGTTCTTCCATAAAATTTCCTCTCGCAATGTCATCCCACCAGATACGTGAGCGTTTTTGGGTCCAGACTGACTTCTTCGTTAATCCGATAATCATTCCAGTAGACATTCAATATTGATAATCCAGACGCCTTTTCAGAATAAGGAGCCTACTCATTTTGATTTCTCCGAAGGAAATGAGCTTTTTGTGACCAGAACTATCTTTAAAAGGTGTTGTCTCGATTGTATGCGAAACAGCATTGCTTCCACTGGTTAATGAAACATACTCCTATAGCTTAAATGACATGTGAATGCAAAGTAAATATACTTTTACTTCTGCAAGTAAATTTACTCCACAAGTAAATTTACTCACATAAGTAAATCTGTGCATGTAAAATGGACTTTAGTGACATAATAAACAATGGATGAGGTAAACAATGGATGATAAACATTCTACACTCACGGGTAACATAGAATAATACATACTTTGTTATTAAAAGCGACTTTCGAGAAAATGGCGAATATTTAGCCGTATTCTGGTAAAGGAAATCAATACAGCATCAGAATTTCTGAAATCAAACTAGCAAATGTCATATCAATTGAAAATGTGTTGCGTTTTAGAAACTTCAGAAGGCAATGGAACCTACTGAAGAGTGGAAAAGTGCTCATCGCGAGGACAGCATCCACGAAATGCTGCCAATGGTGTGAACGTTGCGTACACTCCTAAACACCCGATGCTACTCGGAAATTGAGAGTGAGCTGTTGTGACACAAATCTGCTAAGTACGCTCAGCACCCTTTATCAGCTAATGTACATCAATGTCATTATATGAAAACAATGAAAGTTGTGGGGCATGAACCTTTTGGAAGGTTATATTTTAAATGAAGACTTTACTTTGTAATTAGCGTGAGTATTTAACTGATAAATACATTTGAACAGAACAAAAACGATACAATAATTACATCATTTCGTTTCCTTTGCATATGTTTGTTATTGAGGGAACTGATGGGTCAGGATACTTTAACGTAATTTATAAGAAACGTGTGTATATGTTCGGAATAATACGACGAAGTCTCCTTTAATTGTTCTTCTAAAGGTTGTTCATAAAACATTTTGTTGTTGTTTTATAACCCATATTATTGTGGACATTCAAGGGGGATAATATTATCTAAATTGGTCAATTTAGAAAAAAACAGTTAGAGTTTTAAACAGAACTATAACGAAAAAAGCAAATGAATATTTTATTATCTTTGTCAGTAATTATGGCAAAGGTTTATCATAAGGGTTTGTCGCTTTTCTTAGTAATTAAGGCAAAGGTTTGTAATTTTTGTTATTGATTATGGCAAGGGCTTTTCTCCTTCGTAGTAATTATGGCAAAGGTTTGTCGCTTTTGTCCGTAATTATGGTAAAGCTTTGTCTTTTTTATTAGTAGTTTTGACAAGGGTTGTCGCTTTTGTTAGTAATTGTGGTAAGGGTTTGTTGCTTTTGTTAGTAATTATGGCAACTATTTGTCGCTTTTGTTAGTGATTATGGCAAGAGTCTGTTGCCTTTGTTATTAATTATGGAAAGGGTTTGTTGCTTTTGTCTATTGCTTGTTACACTACCACCAGCCATTGACACGCCAAGTATAAACACGTACAACTGCTATATGTAAACAGATAACACACCAGATTATACAGTTACAGCAACTCTTGGAAAAATACATAAATGTTCTCCCTTACAATGATTTCTTTGTTTCTTTGACCACCCGATCCCGTACCCGGACTTCCACGGGTTCAGTTTGTAAGGAAGGCTCAAAGAGATGCAGGTCCTAAGCCTTATGTTTCCCAGTTTTTATACACCCACAAGGACAGTTATGGTGCTGACACATCTTCAAACATAATCGAAGCGAACAGGGATTGAACCCACTTTCCCAGGTCTCTTGAATACAGCTAAATACAGTGCATTAGACGACTGGGACATCTATACCCCAGGTGGAAGCTTGAATAAAGGCGTCAAGCTTCTGATCATCTTTTGCACAGGGTCTATCTTGACCAATGCGTCTGAAGTGTTTGAAGTGTTCGTGTGGGATAATGGGAACTCATTTGGAAATGGATGCGTCGAACACATCTATTCCATAATGCACTTATCAACACACACATGTCAATTAAATACTTATAGAAATAAATATTTACACATGTATGTACACATATAGATCTGGTTCAGTTTTTATTTCACTGTCTTTTTTTACAGGTGTTTATCTAGCATAAATGTTTCTATCATTGACGTCTTCATTGTTGTAGTCACTCTATAGCGGATACGCTTATGATGTGACAGATCTTAACTCACATAACCTCTCACTCACAAGGACAACAATACCACGGTCATTTACTTACATCCCTTTCAGCATGAACACTGCTGTGGCATCATCGATATTGACCTCTCTGTGTTCAATATACGATATACCATAGACCATCAATGTTTAAATATCCTTTAATATTCCAAATGCAATATAACGTCTGAATTTTTTGGGATATTCTGTACAAACCTATAATTTCCCAGGCATTCTTGAAATACCTCCTCATCTAACTTTGGTGACTCTCAGTGATTTCTCAGACTTTCGTCGCTCACGCCAACATTCACGTTTTACCGTGGGCGGCATATTCATCGGATGTGAACCCAGTCGAAGATTTATGGGACCATCTCGATCGCCAACTCAGATATCGCCTTGTTCCTCCAGTCAACCTTCGGGAATTGGAACAATGCCTCCTTAATGAATGGCAACACATCAGCCCGTAGACGTGTAGTGGCGTGTATTGACGCTCACGATGGACATACCCAGTACTAACGTGAGACGTCTATTGTGACATTTACAACGCATTGTTTGAAAGAAATATTCATTTTGGACCCCTCACATCTTTACAGGCCTGTCCTAATGATTGTAAAGGATTGATTGAAATGATGTTTCGTAAACATGTGTTCATGAAAAATTTCTCAAATGAAATATACCCATCTAAAATTTCTGTATGGTTTTGTGTTTCTGGAATGTCCTTTCAAACAGGTGGTATCGTTTCTTTTGGATCTTAGTTACATAGAACAGAGAAATACATTGACTAGAAATCAGCCATCTGTGACCACATATGAGCTGCCCTAAACTGATCGTCATGTGGGACTATGTAAGAATCCTATCCAACCAGTTCCATGACTTGCACAAGAAAAAAATGGCGGTTTACCAAGATTTACAATTTGTGAAGTAAACATTTTGTACAGATGATATTCACAAAGCTTGTAACTTTTGTGTAAATTTAGGAAGGATTTTACCACTACTTCTTTCAGTTTCTCTTTTTCCCAGGGATCCCCTGTTTTAATGTCTCTCCGATGTTTGTGCCAGGAGGACTGTACATGCTTTACTATTTCACACACCTTTTGTTCTATTTGAGTTCACATTGTTGATATACATGATGCTTTATATTAATGCAACTGCATCTGACGTGACGTCTTTCAATACTTTTATTAAAGTTGTGATCATGTTTAAAGTAAGTGTTATACAAATTACTTACACCTACGTCACATGGATTAAATAGAAGTTTATCATACCCACTGACTGTTCAGGGTTTATTCAATCAAGCTTTATGTCATTTTAACCAGTCACCATGGTACATGAAAATTACATTTACATATTTGACATATTATAGACTGTGCCCTTAGTGTGATAAACTACATATTTAACAGATTATCACAGATATAAGATATGAATATAGTTTTCTGCAAGCGTTCGTAGTAACAATTGTAGCTTATTATAATTTCGTTTTCCATAGTAAAATGTATTTATATAACTCTACAAGCAAGTAATGGTATTCGTCCCCGACAAGTTGTAAAATACACAGTTTGCAGGCACGACATTTATAAAATTATCCTTGCAGTATATAGCAAAACTTTATTCTAACGAGTCTAACCCTGCTATTAACTGTGTCTTTAAACCTCCCTGTGACGATTTGTACAACAAATAGTCTCCTCATGTTCCGAATTAAACCATTCATTTCTGCTGCCGGCATTGAGCTGGAAAATATAGCTCCTTCCCGTCTTCTTTCTTCTCCTTAGCAATTAGGGAGGCCAAAGGTTGGCCTAACATTGATAAAGTTTAAGAAATCAGAAACTAATGAAGTACAATATAAACAAGAATATAATTAATTAAAGAGTAAATATAATACATACAAATCCATTTTTACAGATGGGTCCAAGGATGGTGGAAGTTGCTTGTGCCACTGTCATTGGATCCAGAACAATATCCTCCAGACTATCTGATGACAGCTCAATATTCACAGCAGAAGCAAATGCAATGCTAACAGCTCTTAAATATATTCACAGACATCCTAAATATAAACAATATATCATATTTTCTTGCCTTTAGGCTATTAAAAACCTTTCTTGTAAACATCCACAGATTGAAATTATTGAATTATATAATGATCTTGCTACTGCCCAATACGACATCGTCTTTTGTTGGTTACCCAGCCATGTTGGTATTTCTGGGAACACAATGGCCGATTTTGCCGCTAAGGCAGCACTCAACAAATCTGTGACACCTCTTTTTATTCCATACTCTGATTACAAAGCTAGCATTAGAACTTACATCCGTGATCTGATACCCAAGTAGGTATCAATAAATTACATGCAGTAAAACCCTATTTTTGTTACACCTACTTAGGTTATCAGTCCAGATTTGAACAGGTCATCATGAGACGACGTATTGGCCATACTAGATATACTCATCAGTACCTGTTAAAAGGTGAGGATTCTCCGTTTTGTATCCCTTGTGATCAAAGAATCACGGTCAAGCATGTCCTGCTTGACTGTATTGATTTTTTCCGTCACAATAATAAATATTTCAATGTCAAAACAGTGATGGATCGTTTTAATTTCAATTATCATTTAATCATTGAATGTTTAAAAGAAATAGAATTTCTAAATAATTTTTTTACAAATGGTTTGTAAATAGATACATATTTTATTACTGGCAGCTTAGATTAATAACTGAGATTGTTAGTGGCTGTATCCTCAAAGGGGGTTGAAGTATATGTGGTCGATCTGCGCAACTGGGAACCGATGACATGTGTCAACCAAGTCAGCGAGCCTGACCACCCTATCCCGTTTGTCGCCTCTTACGACAAGCATGGGCTACAGAAGATCCATATTTTAACCTGGACCCTTCACGGGCCATTTAACCAGTGAGGATCCTGGATAAACCGGTCATCTGCGACCTTAGGAAGCAACTATCGGGATAGGGTGGTACGGCATTTTGACTTGGTTGATGAATGTTAATGTATCTACGTGCATGATGTCACTCACTAATGTGTTTGGTCCAGACTCATTTTGTTATATACCGCCGTCATATAGCTGGAATATTCCTGAAAGATGCGTTCGACAAAGAAAAAAAGAAACAAATCATTGCATCGGGTAGCATTTATTTATTTTTCTAAGAGTTGCCGTAGCTGCGTATCACCTGTTCTGTTATCTTTTAGGCCACTGATCATTGCAGTTGTACAGGTTCACAATTGGCGTGTCAGAGGTTGCCGTGATCGTTCCATGATGACGCATCCCATTACCTTCAACAGTACTTATGTCAGTTTGCACACTGTGGCGTCAGGGACTGAACCAGGCGATTTCACCTTCACGTATTTCAATAATTGGGTATTGGTGTAACAGTCAATAAGCTTTTCCCTTTCTACACTTAAACAACATGATCATTTGAAACAAATCCATAAGTGACTTACATTCTTGTATACATGGCACATCTTATAACAATGGACTTAATCAACAGAAACTGCAAGACAACCTTTCCCGTAATTACTTATAAAAGAGACAACCCCTTCCCATAATTATTAACAAAAGCAATGAAACCTTTCCATAATTACTCACAACAAGAGCCTGTTCGATTCCCAACGTAGGTAAAATGTGAAGCCCATTTCTGGTGAATATTGCTCGATTATAGTATATTAAAATCACTCACTCACTACTAAGAAAACGACAAACCCTTTTGGTCATGAAATATTAATTTCCATTTTTTCCTTTATAAATATGCTTGAATTCCAAGTAGTCAAACTATTGTGCTCAACTGATCAGTTTACATAATACTTTTCCCTTGAATTCTCACACAGGTATGGTTTGGTTTGGTTGTGGTTTAACGCCACTCAGCAATATTCCAACTATATGGCGGCGGTCTGTAAATAATTGAATCTGGACCAGACAACCCAGTGATCAACAGCATGAATATCGATCTACGCAATTGGGGTACGATAACGCGTGTCACCCAGGTCAACGAGCCTGACCACCTGATCCGTTAGTCGCTTCTTTCGACATGCGTGGGCTGCTGAAGACCAATTCTAACCTGGATCTTCCCGGTTCTCACTCAGGTATGGATTATAAAACAACAATATAGTGTTAAGTATAACAAAACAAACTCAACAGAACTCTTTTCGTCTTCATCTGAATTATAAAGGAGAGTCAATACTATTATTCCGACCATGTCAAAAGCGTGTGTGAATTAGGTATTACGTGTGAAAAGTATGAACCGTTTCTATCGTTTTTTATCTGTTGAAATGTATTTATCAGTTAAATACTCACTATTTATGTGAAAGCAATTAGTATAGATATACAAAACTGACCTCATGTTCATCGGGAACAAAGGAAAGTCTTCATTTAAAATATATCCTCCAAAATGTTCATGCCCCCGTACTATTATTGTTCGTTACATAGTAACACTGGTGCAAAACCGTTGATAAAGGGAGCTGACTCCAGCAGATTTGTGTCGCAAAAGCGGTTGCATACAAAGAGCTGTTTTAGACTTCCTCGTTAAAACGGGTAAGTACGATGTAATTTAACTGAACAAAAATATAACAGTTTGTTAAGTGTTGGGCGCATATATACCTTTTAAGGCCCAAGGTCGCCCTAAAACCTTATATACCTACCTACCTGTCGCAAAAGCTCAGTCTTGTTTTCCGAATAGCATGGGACTTATAGGAGTGTCATAATGATCTCATCTGCAATTGTCCTGATTACTCATAGTCGAGCCACCATATAGCTGGAATATTGCTGCGTAAAACTAAACTCACTCATATTCGATGTTCAAGCGATTAAGCAGTGGCATTATCCTTCTTCGAGATTTACATTTTTGAAAGCAGATGGTAGACTTTACTCTTTAGCACATTTGATGTTTTTTGTACTAGTTACTTAAGTGGATCTTGTGGGATAATTGAAGCTGTCAGAATCATTTTCTTATGTTTTGTTTAACTGTGACTCTCACAGTTTGTCAAATGTCTTGAATGAGTGAGTGAATAAGGTTTTGCTCTGCTTTGGCAACATTTGAGGAAAATCACAGCGGATGGCAACAGAAAAGGGCTTCATATACTGTACCCATGAGAATCAAACCCGTGACGAGACGAGCGAGTGCTGTAACCATTAGGCTACTCCAAATGGATTGATATAATTAGCATTCACATATTTGATACAAAGAGCTACAGCTATCTCAACAATTGATGTAAAGTCTGTCCAATGACCCTACGGGGAATCCGAGAAGTTTATATTGTCGTAAATTCAACACTAGAAAAGTGCGAAAATCCATTTTATGTAAGGCAAAACAACTATGGAATACATATGAATTGATTACTGATAACTGTACGGTAGGTTCACGCCATTGGCTGCATTTCGTGGATGCTGTCCTCGCAATGAGCACTTTTCCACTGTTCAGTAGGTTCCAGTGCCTTCTGAATTTTCTAAAACGCAAACATTTTCAATAAATATGACATTTGCTAGTATCATTTCATAAAATGCTAATGTTGTATAAATTCCGTTTACCAGAGTACGGTTAAACATTCGCCATGAATTAAAAAGAAAAGAAATATTCTATATTAGTAATCTTCCAATATTTGCATTTTCGCGATTCACAAAGCTGATTGGTCAACTGAAGCCAGATGACGTAACAAACATGACGTCATCCGTTCTTCACGATGTCATTAATCAATCACTCTATCTCATCTGAACCATAGTTTAATGATGTGTCTCGCTGGCTTAGACATTTCAAACTCTGCATTCACACTCCTAAAATTTCAACGAGTAATGGATAGAATTTACTGAAATTATTCATTTGTTTTTCAGCGGTTTTTTTTAACTATTACCGTAAGTCCCTCGAGAAAGTCTAGGATAGCAATATTTATTCATTCAGCATCAAAAGTACCCAATTTATTAGCTTGTGGTTTATTCTTTAACAATACCTCTTTTACTGAAGTCCCACGTTTGGTGACAACCGTCCAGGTGAAGACTATGGGGAAAGGCAGGACTGCTACAAGTGATATCATCCAACCAACTACATTGGCCCAGGCTGGGAAGATGTAGTTCCCATACTTGGGCGATCGGTATGAATACCCGGAATAGGCAATTATCACCTGGGAACATATGAATGCGTCAACGTGTTACAGTGTCCAGCTGTCGCGATTGCCATTTTTATAATAAACACGATCGTATGGTCCAGATTCGATTATTGATAGACTGCCGCCATATATCTGGAATATTGCTGAGTGCAACGTTAAACTAGAAACAAATTAAACCAAACGAATCTAAAACCTTTTCAGGATTTTGAGATTTTACGTGTGCATCCATAGGATTCCGTATTTTGCACACTGACGATAACGTTACTGTACCCTCAACGGGCAGGCCTACACAGCCGGTCTATGTCAAGAATAAAACAGGCGCAACTGATAATCACGATTCTGACATCAGTGCCTTCCCAAACATGGCTCCTCTCTAGCAGCCAAAGCAACATTCCTGACAATCGCGTCAACCCAGTCATTACTCTCAAGTTGACACAAGCTTGCCGTCTAGCAGACAAAGCAACATTCCTGACAATCGCGTCAACCCAGTCATTACGCTCCAGTTGGCATAAGCTTCCCGTCTAGCAGACAAAGCAACATTCCTGACAGTCGCGTCAACCCAGTCATTACGCTCCAGTTGGCATAAGCTTGCCGTCTAGCAGACAAAACAACATTCCTGACTATTGCGTCAACCCAGTCATTACGCTCCAGTTGGCATAAGCTTGCCGTCTAGCAGACAAAGCAACATTCTTGACAATCGCGTCAACCCAGTCATTACGCTGAAGGTGGCATAAGCTTGCCGTCTAGCAGACAAAGCAACGTTCCTGACAATCGCGTCAACACAGTCATTACGCTCCAGTTGGCATAAGCTTGCCGTCTAGCAGACAAAGCAACATTCCTGACAATCGCGTCCGCCCAGCCACGTGGGCGTAAGTGTCCACAGCAAATGCTTACAAAAGTAGGCACTTTTTCAATTTGACAATCCAAATTCCCACCAGTAACCCACCAATTTCTGGTTATGATATTTTATAAATGTACCCCAAAAGACTACATTGTAAAGATATATCTCACCAGAATTAGAACAGGGCACACGATCCGAATGCATACATGCATGAAGCCAGGTATCTTCTCCCCCCACAGCATACTGACATCTTCCTCCAGCCTCTTTGTGCCTGAAATAGTCAATACACTGTTTAGGCTTGAATCTGTATAAGTGAAAGGGAGTGAGTGAGTGAGTATGGTTTTACGTCGCTTTTAGCAATATTCAAGCAATATCACGGCGGGGGACCCCAGAAATGGGCGTCACATATTGTACTCATGTGGGGAATCGAACCACGGTCTTCGGCGTGACGAGCGAACGCTTTGACCACTAGGCTTCCCCACCGACCCATAAGTGAAAGTAGGATCATAGACGTGTATAGTTGCTGCTTTGTTTGTTTGGTTTTTCAATCCCTGAAAGAGAGAAGAACAGTTTTTTGCTTGTTGTTTAACGCCGTACGACTTTTCAGTCATATAACAGCGGCCCGTATATAATCGCGTGTGGAACAGACAATCTAAGCTAGTCCCGAGTGAAATGAACTCTGTGACACCCTCGATTGTGTTTGCTCCTTCTTTCGTTTCTGTTTATGTTGTTTACCGCCGCACACAACTTTCAAGCTATAGGGCTGCTTTCTTGATAGTTAATGACTTCATGAGCATTGATCGACACTGTTAGGATGCATTTGGTGTCAACTGAGTCAATTAGCCTCTCACCTGACCCCATTAGTTTTGGGACAAGCATGCTGCAGACCGATTCTAACTTCAGACCGTTTTACTTTTTAGGACGACAACATGACATGAAAATGACAAAATGCATTTTAAGAAATATCCGCTGTGATATTGCTGAATATTGCTAAAGGCGGCGTAAAAACATACTCATTCACTTACCCATTTTACAAAATGCTGAACAAAATTATGAATGAATATTTTTATGAATGAATCCGGGATCCAGCCGTGAGGAGTATCGCGAATTGCATAGTAGCATATGCCATCGGCCTACAATCGCATGTTCGAATCCCAAACGCGTCCAGATAATGAACATTGGTTTGTCAGCACAATAACCATAGCTGGATTGATAATCTTACACGTGCATAACTTTGGATTTTCTTCCATCATAAAGATAGCCATCAGTGAAAATTGAAGAATTATTGCTTTGAAATAACTTTGAAATCTATCTTTCTTGCACAGTCTAATGATATCACATCCAGTAGAATAAATCCCTTAAATAATTCTTGTCATAAACTGTGCAGTATTAGTACTGAGATCCAGTAAAGCAAGAACATTGTCCTAACAACTAGTTATTACCATAACACCAGCCCACGACGACGCACTCCAGCAGGGCATAGAGCGCTAAGGCTGGGAAGTACGAAAACCAGTCCACCAGTGTCAACACGTATATCCCACCCTAGAAGTAAAGGAAAATACAACTGTCCAGAGTACATATTCCAGCATTCATTTATTGGGTTATACAAAGTTATAGGAGCGTAAAACTACGCTTGACTAATATCAGATCTACATCAATGTGTTGACCAGATACATAAAAGATCCCATTAATTTATTTTTGTGTTTCCTGGGCTGTGGGGTAGCCAAGTGGATAAAGCACTGGTCACGCTGAACACCCCGGCTCGAATCTCTACAGAAGTACAATGTATGAACACAAGGTTAAAAGGGCGCAAAATCATACTCACTCACTCTAAATTCAGCATCAATATACCTGTGATTGTGTATGGTTTTATGTTGTTATTAACAACATTCCGGTAATGATACTGCGGGGGGACCAACAATATGCTTAACACATAGTACCCACATGGAGAATTGAACCCAGCGCTTTATCCACTTAGATACAACTGAAAAGCAGCATTGACACTGTTCAGAACTCATTGAAATTGAAATTGAAATTTCGTCCATGGTGTTCATAGGTACAACCGTTCATCAAGCAACACAGTAGTACAGAAAAATATAACTGTCCATATTCCAGCATTCATTGAGTGACGTCACTACAAGTGTGTGAGCATGGTTTTACGCCTTTTTAGCAATTTTCCGGTAATATCACGGCGGAGAACACCAAAATTGGGCTTGTAACATCGTACCAAGGACTTCAGCCTGACGAACGGACGCTTTAACTATTAGGCTGCATGTACCTATTAGGTTTCTGGGTTTTTAATTTCGTCCATGGTGTTAACAAGTACAACAATTTATCATGCAACATTGCTTTTACAAATCAGTTAACAAATTACTCTTGTTCCTTTTCTTAGAACGAATGGACAGGGAGAAGTTTTTGATGTTTTCGTTGAGGTTACAAATCTATGAAATCGGTTCTTATGTAATACAAGACCGTCCTCCTGTGGAGGTACGGAGGTCCCAAAACATTCAAGGTAAAGTTCATCATACTATTGTCTTTAAGTAGAATATATGTTGTTGAATATATGTTATGGCCAGTTTGTCAAAAGGTGCTTATTGCAGAAGGGATGGTGTAAATTCATCTTGGGTCCATGCAGGAAGCAAATGTACTGTATGTCCCCATGGTCCCTGGTATGGTGATCTACCTTCTTGGCAATCTATAGCCTGTTTTTATATTGTGTTGTCCTCTATAGATAATATGTTTTAGATTTAATAACTAGTTTTACATTTTATATATGTGATATTCTAGTTGTTTTACTGTCCTTCGTTGACAGGTTTTTATAATTTACCTTTAATTGTTATAAATCTATAATTTGATTTAGTCACGATATGGCTGAAATATTGCCAAAGTGACTAAACATTTTAACTCACTCACTAACACAAGACCTCTTTATTGGCCACGCATCCCGTTGCTTGTGGTTTTAAGCCACAGACCTGGGGTCTTTGTAACTGTGGCTTGGTTCCTCTGACAAACTGACTTGAAATGAATGGCATCGTGTGAAATTTAGTGCAAAAGTGATATTTCGAGTTGACTAGTAGACTCTTTACATGGCTTATAACAACGATGTAATTGGGTTTCAACTGATCGTGAGAAAAATATATTCCTTTACCAGACGTACCTGAGAGACATATACGAGGCCAAACAGTAGCACTGTGGAAAGAACAGCACAGAGGGTAAACCGACGTCGTCTTCTCAGTAGAGGGAACTGGTCTCCCAGTGCTGCTACTATTATATCAATTTGTGGCACCTGCAAATTCAACATCGGTAAGTGAGTGAGTTAGATATGAAAGTCACTGTGGCAATTCATAAGTCATGTACTGAATCGACCAAAAGCATTTTCTGTCGAATAACCTGTCAAAAGAAGTCAACATCAACTAGATTACACTCGATTTCTATTTATAACTAGTTGGTGAGTTAGTGAGTATAGTTTTACTCCACACTCACAAATATTCCAGCAGAATGGTAAGGGGGTAGGGAAAATGATGCGGTTCAGGGACTAAGAGACCTATGATTTTGGATTCGAACCCCAATTCGCCCCGATTGTGTGTAGGTATTTCTGCACAAAACCCATGCTCGTAGGTTTCCTTAAAGTACCTTCTAATACATCACTTGTAATACATCACTTCGTCATATTAGTGAAATACTGTTCAAAGCGGGGTTAAAACCCATATCACTCCTAAAGCAGAAAAAGTGTAATAACGTCCAGACAGGTGAAACATGTTATTTAAGAAGTGAGTCAGTGCTTTTAACAAAATTCGGGTAAACTCCTGGCGGGGAACATCAGAAATGGGCTTCACACATTGTACCCCTTTTAGGAAATAGCAGCCGGGTCATCGAGTTAACGCTTTAAATAGTAGGCTACCCAATCGCCCTATTTAAGAAGCATACATTACCAATGTATCAATTGCGAGTGACATCAACGTAACGAACGTCAACACCAACCATAGCTGTGGTAAGGGAAGCGAGGACAAGAAATCAGGATACACGATGAATGCAAGATTGAATCCTGAAATACAAATTCATTGGAATATGTGCTTACATGTGTATAATATCGTATTACATCAGTCAAACTGTATAAGCAATTACGCTACTTTCAACAACACTTGGTTTGTCTATCTTTGGCCACAATCACAGCAGTCAAACGTGATGTTCAGATCTGTGTTGTATCTAGTTAAATCCTTAGTCCTAGTCAAATAAACATATCTTCATCTCAAACGTTAGTTTTGGAGGATGAAATTAATATTTAGTTAAAGGAACATTTTGCAAGAGTACATTTATTTATAAATCAGCTTGTGCTATTGCTTTCATTCGAGGACCAATGGATACTGAGTTTAGTGTTGACCAATCGCAACCTTAGACAAGGGTAACAACATGTCTTCTTGTTTAGGTACACTTGAGCACATTCTGCTGGACCTGATGACTGGAAGTGCTCCACAGACAGTCCACGCAGATGGGCGATGTGACCAATGATGGAGAAACAGGCGAAGCCAACAAATACACAGGTCAGTGCATCTACCAGGCAAGTCACTATTGCATCCCTGAAGAAGAAAGGAAAGCTTGATTGTTTGTTGTTGAATGCCTCACTCGGCAATATTCACACAGTCTATACAAATCAATCTAACCTGGATATTTCCGGGTAGAAGGAGGACAAGAACCCCGTGATATTCCAAACTGCAACCTAGAATTCTGTATTGTATCCTTTGTTGTTTAACGCCACACTAAGTAATTCTCAAGCATAATTACGCCTGTCAAAATAAGCAACTGTCAACGAGCCAATACAGTGACCACGGCCACCGATCTAAGCAACTGGGATACGATGACAAACAAGTCTGCGAGAAGAGTTAGTCTGTCAACAAAGTCAGCGGGCCAAACCACCTGCTCCCGTCAGTCGCCTCTTCCAACAAGCATATGTTGCTAAATACCAATTCTAACCCTTATCTTCAGGGGTTCTGTTTGGGTAGAAAATATCTGCACATAAGCACTACAAAAGTGAAGATATTGTCAAGCTATAAATCAAATTTGACAACCTTTCAAATCAAATAGTCAGACAAATGCCTTATCAAGTTAGTCATGTCTTATAATAGCATTGATTGCTGAAGACCAACACTAACCCGGATCATCAAATTAAATGTTGGAAGTGTATCCAACACAATTGTTACCTCATCAAGAATAGACATCAGTACTTATGCCTGTAACGTTTCAGCAGCTTCATGCTCAATATAACAAATCTGTATTATCCGTCATCGCCAAGGTATTATCCATCAGAACAGATTATACTTTTCGAAAAGGCAAATTAGGGAGAACATGTTAAGCATGGGTCACTGAAAACATTACTTCCAAAGTCAACATACTTGAGACAGCGGTTGCTTATGACGTTGTGGCCAGCCAGTGTCACAATACACCCTGTAGACACACCTAGAGAATACAGGCTCAAACTAAGTGCCTCGATCCATACCTTTAAACAAGAAATGGGAAAGCATTTATTTATTCACATGCCATAAATACTGATTTATCTGCCTATATAGCTGAAACAAATATTGACGTGATCTGCTCAGTTGAGGAAAGTAGATTTATCTTACCAAGGAAACAGTTATCCTTTTCCCTTTTACAACTGCTGTATTTTCACTTTTAGATCAGTATATTTTAAGAGTTTTTTTTGTTTCATTTGTTTCCAATGGTGGTAGCCTTGCCGTTAAAGCGTACGCTCCTCACGACGAAGACTCAGGTTCGATTCACCACACTGGTAATATATGTGATGCCCATTTCTGTCATACTGCTTGAATTTCGCTAAAAGCGGCTCACTCTTCATTTATTGGCTTTATTTATGTAAATATGAAACGTTGAGAGTAATCCGTTTCGAGTATAAGCTACAATAGTAATGAACATTATATGGATTGATGACTGAAAGTCAGTGATGACACAAGGTGTTTACGAAAAAGGTGATGGTAAATGCCTGCCTATTTCCTGTTGAGTCTTTGAGCAATTCAAAACTGGCGGTAATATAGTAACAAATCCTATTTCACGAAATGGTAAAGGTAGAACCTTCTTACATACTATTGAGTCTGTTGGACTTTCAGTGTTGGGGTTGATATGATAATACATCCCATTTCACGAAAAGTGTAAAGGCAGAGACTTCCAACTTACTCTTGGGTCTTTGAGCCTTTCAAAATTGGGGTTGATATAGTAATAAATCCCATCTGCGGATCCTGGTAGTAGACAGCCACGGATGAGGAAGATGAAGGTAAGGATGTAGGGAATAGCCACGGTGACATACACAAGCTGAAGGAAACAAACATGCCGAGTTAATAGGTATGCTTATGTTGAAACCAGCTATTCATACTGGACATTACAACATACATGTATACGCAATTATTTTTCAGTTAAAAAGTGGTGTTTTCAGCAGTAGGACGCCTCGTTAGAATGAAGAGGGCACACGAGTCTCGTCGTTTTACAAGAGTCGCCACCCATGATGTGCAAGACACATGTTATCGTGGGTTCGAATCTCAGACGCCCCTTTCTATATCGTAGATTTTACCAACGTGTTAAAGGAGCGTGGTATCACTGTAATAGATTCCTGTCAGTTTCGGAGACAAGTCACACGCCTATCGAGACAAATGTTTTCCTTTGATTATGGTTAGTTTCCCAGTGAAAGATACACTATAAGGGTGATTGTAATAGTTTTACGTTAAGAAAGATACACTATAAGGGTGATTGTAATAGTTTTACGTTAGGAAAGATACACTATAAGGGTGATTGTAATAGTTTTACGTTAGGAAAGATACACTATAAGGGTGATTGTAATAGTTTTACGTTAGGAAAGATACACTATAAGGGTGATTGTAATAGTTTTACGTTAGGAAAGATACACTATAAGGGTGATTGTAATAGTTTTACGTTAGGAAAGATACACTATAAGGGTGATTGTAATAGCTTTACGTTAGGAAAGATACACTATAAGGGTGATTGTAATAGTTTTACGTTAGGAAAGATACACTATAAGGGTGATTGTAATAGTTTTACGTTAGGACCTGGCACTGTCAAATGAAACTGATTGCGTGTGTATACTAGCGGAAAAAAGTAACCGTGCTTTATATAATGTACTATAATTTTGTTAATAATTATAATAACAACATAAACTTTGGTAAACAGTTAAATCAATGTTTAATTAGGGAAATTTCATGAATTAAACTTAAGCACGGTAACATTCAAGTGCGTGACACACGTCTGCAGAGGTCTTGTATCAGAACTCAATTCACAAAGTCAGTAACGTGTGTGACCCCCGTTAGCATCTATGCAAGCCACACAACGGCGACGAATGGATGAAACAAGATGGTTGAAAAACGCTTGAGGAATATTATTCCAGATGTTCACCAAAGACTGACCCAATTCATCAAGCGTCAACGGCTGGTTTGGTTGTTGACGTAGACGTCGCTCAATTTCATCCCAGACAGGTTCTATGTGCGAAAGGTCTGGCGAAACTGCCGGCCATGGCAGAACATCAATGTTCTGTTCCATTAAATGGTATGTGACTACACGTGAAACGTGTGGACGGGCATTGTCATGCTGAAAGGGCACGAAGGGCACAACGTGACGTTCAATAATTTCGTTTCGGTAACGTGAACCTGTCAGATTGCCATTGACAAAAACGACTTCCGTTCGGCCACGGTTTGAGATGCTCTCCCACAACAGTACACTGCCACCTCCAAATGAACGACGTTGGGTGATGCACACGTCGGCGTAACGTTCCCCATCACGTCTGTAAACCCTAGCTCGCCAATCTGAACTGTCAAGGTGAAATCGAGACTCATCTGTAAACAGGACACAGTTCCAGTCACGTTGTGTGAACCTTAGATGTTGTCTGCACCATGCTAGACGTGCTTGACGGTCACGTGGCAGCAAAACGGGACGTATCGCAGGTCGTCGGGGTCAAATGTTGTGTTCTCTTGGACGGTTTCTTACAGTCCTCCCACTATTGGTTTCAAACCAGGAATCGTTCGAGCTGTCAAAGTTGCAGATTGAAACCGATTCCTTAGATGAACAAGGCAGATATGGTTATCCTGCCGACGTGACGTCACTCGTGGACGACCGCATCGACGTAAGTCGCGAGTGTTGCCATTTTGCTGATAACGTCTCCAAAGAGACGATATGGTGTTCCGATGAACATTAAAATGTCTAGCAACTTCAATTTGGGGCATTCCAGTCTGCAGCATACCGACATTTTCAGACAGACACGAGGCATAATGTTTTGCAGTGTAAACAGAACAATAATGTGTTTTTCTTATCACCAGAAGTCTACACAAACGATGTGTGCCCTTTTGGGCTGAACAACACGTGTGACAAAGTCACAATTGAGTTTAACATGGAAAACACGAAACTTGCAACGTGTGCAACATGTGCATTTCATTCAGACAATGACAAAAGTGCGTCTTCTGCGATAGTTTTTCAAAAATGTTTTGGAATAAATATTTTATGATATTTTATATGAAGCACAGTTACTTTTTCCGTTAGTATATATACCTTCCCGGCAACTTTTATTTCTTGAGAAAGCCATAGAAAAAGAAGTCCCATTGTGACGACCAGACACCCTGCAAGAGGCCACCTGATGCCACCCAGAGTCTCCAGACCATCGCTCACTTGCAACACCTGGAATCTAATGAAATCCGCCATCGAACAACACGGAGTGAGTGAGAAAATGCATTTCATTTGTATGGGAATTGTGAAAAACCTTTAAAGAAAGCCATTATTTAGATAGGGTTTTTTAGTAGCGGGTGTTTTACTTCAGTATTGTGAATGTAAGTCAAAGAACAGTCACAAGGTGCCTTTCCATTATCACATGTGAAATATGATAACAATGGCCATTTATAAAGCATCTGTTTCCACACACTTGTGCATGCTCAACGCACTAACACATTATTACTCCGGAAAACCCAAGCTGCCTGTTAGGGGTTAGAAGGTTATAGTCACATGACTTATCCCACCAGGTACCCATTTTCTGCTGGGTGAACAGAGGCAATTTTGAACAAACTCACTTGCCTAAGGTGAGACCACATGTATACCATTTGCTTCGTTGTGGGGAAGGACTTAAGTCCTAGAAACTCTCAGGAGTCAAGCTGTCAAACACGGTCATTCATCCAATGACTCTCCGCGCCAAAAGTTAACTTCAACTGATGTGTGACCTGAGCTCTATCTACGGGACCACACACCACCAGGAGTTACCAGTTGTAAACATATAACCAGGTCTACAAAGGACAGTAAAACAACCAATCACAAGTTTTGCATGGGCTATATATTGACCTGGTATCTATTAAGCTAATATGCATGATAAGAACGATCAAAGCATAAGCCAAAGTCAAATGACGAAGTTATATGAAATATAACACGTTGCATATGCTTCAACAATAAATGAGTTACTAGATAGACACTTATAAACTTGTCTACAAAGGACAGTAAACAACCAATCACCAGTTTTGCATTAGCCATATATACTCATGCCAATAATGGTTGTCACCCCCTTCAATTATGTTAATTGGAGAGGGGTTGGGGGTTGGGGTGGGGATGGGCGTGACAACCATTATTGGCATGAGTATATTTAGCAAGCCTTTATATTTCCATATAGTGACTAGAAGAAACCATCAAGACTCTACAAGAGGGGAGTATCACGGATTAGCATTTAAAACTACTATACAACCTTACAAAATACCACAATAATAAAGATCCATGATAAGAACGACCTAAAGATCATCAGCAACCAAAGTTAGGCAACCGTTAGATTTAAGCTTCTTCTTCTACTTTAAAAGAAACTCTCAACACAGTCGTAGTAGGAATAAATCTACTTTGTGGTCTTACAAGCCTAAAACATACCATGAGTTCAAACGTGACCAACACCCACAAACATACACATAAAGAAATAATTGTATAAACAATTCTGTGTTTGGAATAAAATAATGAACAACATTATACCTCCAGAATTCTTCAGCAGCGGACAGGTGATCGTTAATTCCATCGGAACCTGAAGAAACGTTCCCAACGGTTTCATTAACAGTCGGGTAACTGGTGCTGTTATTCCATGTGGTGTTTTCTAAATTATAGGATGTGCACGCAATAGTGTTCCAGTGGTTGTCACAGTTGTTCCAAGGAAAGTTGTCGGAGAAGGAATGGTAGAGGTAGAACATGAACCAGCAGAAAATGACGCTGAAGTAGGTGCAATATACCCACGAATATATGACTCCGCCCAAACCAATACCTGGAGGAAGGAAGATTTGATTTTGGCAATAGGGCATGGAACATGAGTCAGCAGGAAATGATGCTGTAGTAGGTGGAATGGAGAAAAGAATAAATGATCCCACCTAAACCAATAGATGCAGGAAGGAACATTTGATTTGTACAATGACGAAGTCATTGAGAAATATTAATGAAGGGTATCACTGGAATTTTCGATACCATGACACGATTGTTGACATATCGGATGGATTTCATTTCCATAAATCCAATTTCCATAATATGTTCAAGGATAGCTGTGTCTTGGTGCAATTCAAAATTCTATGATCACAGGTTTTCTTTTTCAATCTTTTTTCGAATGCCTAATGTTTTGTGGTTTCAGAATTTCAGATAACACAGATCCTCAATTCTGGATGTGTATTGACCAATATTAATGAATTTTCGAGACTATGACAAGACTATTGATCTCAGGAATGGCTTTCGTTTATATAAATCCATTTCCCATAACATTTTCCAGAATAGCTGTGTCCTTGAGCATTTGACCATAGGTTTTCTTTCATCATGTTTCTCGAATCATGTTGGAAAAATGGGTAAATGTCCATAGCGTTTTATGACGTTCATTAGTTCCTCAACTATCTTTGAAAAACGTGTTGGTTTATCCATTCACAGTCATTCTTATAAATGAATATAAGAATAATACTTATAAGAATATGGTTTCAAGATATTTCGACATAGAATATGTCATCCTAAACTCCCTGCTCATGCAAGTTAAATAGTTCTTTAATGACAACATTGTTGAGTGAAAGAAGAGGAGCAAATATGCATCTACCTTTGAAAGGCGGACACAGATTCCAAACGTTGATAGGTCCACTCTGTGAATACTGACCAATGACCATCTCCAGGTAGACACATGGCATGGCTCCAATTATGGTGAACAACAGGAAGGGTATCAGAAACGCACCTGTTCAAGATGAAAGATTAAGACGGGTTACTTGTAGTCATGTTACACTATTCCTAAACATTGCCGTAGTCTTTACAATGTAAACCAAACAGTGTCGATGATTCAGTCGTTTTAGAATGTATTAGAAATATAGAACAGAAGTACTGTTAATACCTGTCATAATTATTCTGAAAAGTGATTTCTGAATTGTGTCTACAGAAGACGTCATCGGCAGAGAACAATTATGTCACAATCATGCCCCGACAGAGACAATGAGGTGGAAGATAATGTGGACACGTTGAGAATGTGCACTGTGAACGTCACGGTAACCATTAATCCACGCCACGTGTGGCTTTTGTGGAGATCTTGGACAACATAATCCTCACCTACGCAGGGTCCGGTTGTCAAAGAAATACAATTACTGACAGCTTGTAATATCACATACGCAGAAGGGAAGGTCAGAAAAGGAGAATTGTTCCCACATGTCAATATGTCTACTACATATCAATGCTAACATTACACATAGCACCTACCACCACCGTTCCTTGTGCAGTAGAAAGGGAACTTGATGAATGTGCCGGATCCGATACCATATCCGAGCATAGTGACGATATAGTCCAGCTGATGGCGCCATTGCTCGTGCATTCTGTTGTTGCCACTATCTGTAACACGTTAATGGACCATAAAAGTGTTTAGATTTCTGACTTACAACAGTCCACTCAACATAGTTGTAGTTAATTTATGTTAGTCTTATGAAATAGAAGGAAACGAAATTATTTAACTTTTGCATATTGTCATACGTATATTGTTAGTTAGTATGTGTAGGAAAATGTCACAATTATTGTTATAAAAAGTGTATATCCATAGCATATGTTCACGAATTGGACCTGTAGATTGTTTCATCGTTGTTTTTGTAAACCCTCCTCAACTTTCTGTTTTGTAGTAAAGTTGTTGGATTAGTACCAATTGTATTTCAGTCACTGAATTTCGTTTTGTAATAGTCTATTGAAATAATTCTTGCTTCCTTGCTGTTCAACAACCTGTTCAGAGTGTGCAATTAATATTTTACAATATCCCCTCTTTTTCACAAAAAAAATCAAAATCAAATAAAAACATTTTGCATCCTTTACTGAATTGAGCTCTAAAGTGCGTTGAGTGATTGGCAGTGATTAGTCCTTCTTGGCTTTTCTGAGCAAATGAATTTTCAGCAATGATTTAAAAGTGCTTAATTCATTTGTTGATCAGACTTCATGGTACCTGCTATGCCTTTTCTACCTTCAGTTGCTAGTCATCTACAGCCCATGTTTTATTATTGTATTCTTCTCTATAGTGATGTCTTTTTATAATGACGACCGCCTCCGTGGTGTAGTGGTTAGAGCGTCCGCCCGGAGTGCGGAAGGTCGCGGGTTCGACCCCGACCGCGTCATACCAAAAGACGTTAAAATATGGTACTTGTTGGTCCCTGCCTGGCGCTCGGCATTAATGGGTACAAAAAGGACTTGTCGGCTCGGAGTCAGTATAATGTGTCTGAGTGGTTTACTGCGGCATGGTATCTCAGTGGACTAGCACTATAAAACCAGCTTCAGTCTGGGCTAGTACAAGCAGGCGCACATACACCTACACACGCATGCACGTCGTCATATGAGCGAAATATTCTCAAGCACGAGGTTAAAACCAATTTCACTTCACCTCACCTTTTTATGATGACATGTTATTTGTGATACTCATGTAGTTTTAGTATCCATTGACAGTTGTTTATGTTCTACATATATTCATTGTAAATGGAACCCGTGAAGGTCCGGGTTAGAATGAACCTTCAGTAACCCATGCTTGTCGTAAGAGGCGACTGACGGGATCGGGTGGTCAGGCTCGCTGGCTTGGATGACACATGTCATCGGTTCCCAATTGCGCAGATCCATGCTCATGCTGTTGATCACTGGATTGTCTGGTCCAGACTCGATTATTTACAGACCGCCGCCATATAGCTGGAATATTGCTGAGTGTGGAGTAAAACTAAACTCACTCACTCATTGTTAATGGAGAAATTGTCCTCGTCACAATATGACTGAAATATTGTCGATAAATATTAACTCAATAGCGCACTGTTAAGCTTTTTTGGTTAGATTTCCAATTGTCAGCAATGTTGTTTCTATATCAAATGTTAAGTATTATCCCTAAAAACCGCACTTTTCGCTATTTTTATTCTTAAGTTCATAATTAGGATTATAAGCCTGTGCACCTTACGACGTCTGCTTGAGAAAGACTGATACCCATTTGGTTGACCGTAACGGTGCAACCACTGGCTGGGGGAATATGAAACGCTGACCACGAACTGAAGGCTGAATGTGAATTGCCGATACCTAAGTTTAAAGTGTCAACCATGTGAAAGATTCACTGGCGATACACTGGTATAAGTGTGTTTTACATTAAAACGGTATTGCTTCGTTTGGTAGCCAAGGCCATTTGCCATGGTGTCAGTGTATTAAAAACTTGGTCGTTTTCTTGCATGTTTTGTAGTTAGGAACCAAGAAACGACCGCAGCTTTCTTTCACTTTCACAGACTGCATGTAGGCAAGGTTGTGTCACTTCAGGCTCTAGTCTTCGTGTAAGCACGTGTTTCGTCACGTCATGGTCATGAAGGAATGAGTGAGTGAGTTAAAATCTAAAGTCACATCGGCAGTATTTTAGCCATATCGTGACTAGGAAAGTTGTAAATATATAAATGAATAAAAACAAACTAATATAATATACTTTCCTGTCTGTAAAGGGCAGTAAAACAACTAAATTATCAGAGGAATGAATTAAAACTAGTATTTAAATCAAAAATATTTTAACTATAAATTACAATACAATATAACAACTGGCTATAGATTGCCAATGACTGAAGGTAGATCACAATACTAGGGACCATGGGAACTTAAAGTAAATTTGCTTCCTGCATGGACCCTAGCTGGATTTACATCATCCCCTCAGCTGTTATCAATTTAGACAAATCTAGCCTGACATAAAAAATACAATTTACTTTGAATGTTTTGGGACTAACGCTTCCCTCTCAGGAGGGCAATAATTTTACAGTACCACGAAGGAATGAGAAAAGTTTGTTAGTCTAGTGTTTCTACACAGTGGCACAAATAGTGAGTTCGCTAATGTAGTAACGCTATCAGCATCAGAGCGATCGCTGTTTTAGGTTAGCAAGCTTAGACAGTACACCGCAATGAATGCACTATGTCGCAGCACGTTAGCCTGTTGCCCATCGTTCATCATGACTAATTTCGCTGACTATGTCAACAATCACATTTAAATTACGAATAAAGTAAACAAACGTTTGCAAATAATGTCATATCAATAAGTCATTTTCCTAAATCCTGCTATCATGATTTATATGAGTGGGTTTGTTTTCATATATCCTATGACAAGCTGAAAGCGCAATCTATTTATCCCTGGTAAACATTCAGATTTTTCAGCATCCCCTCTGAGACCTCTGTGCTGATTATTTGAATCAAGGACGTACACAACTGCAAACCCATACAATGTGGCCCATGTCTCAGCATGTTCGTAATTGCCCTATCTAAGTATGCATGTCTACACATTTATTAAGACATCATGCACAGGAGTTTTCCATAAACTCTAGAGTAAGGTTTATGTCGCTGTTGTTGTTGATCATGAGGCGGAACCGTATGACTAGGACCGTCACAATAGCCTCGGTTAGGAGTCTAATCTTATTTTCTGAAATGATCTTGAGTTCTCACGTCTGTACCTATCATCGCTCTCATCATAAAGTGTTTCTGTACCAAATAAAGTGCACATAAAAAGATCACACAGCGTGATTGTATACTTCGCGAAAGTAAAAAAAAATATGTATGCTGCAAGGTGTGTTGGCAATGCTAATGATAAGGCAATGATTGACTGACACAAGGTGTCATAGGACTATGATGATAATGACAATATCCATATGTTCAGCAGCTATCGAAAGGGGCAAATTCGTTTCCATGAATGTAGTTGCTACCAGTGATGTGGGCGTCGTGTTTTATGCGAAGTAATCCTTTTGTACCACGTAAGCCTTTGAGGGGGGATCTTAAAGTGAGTATGTGATGTAATAGGAGGCCAATGTAGGGATTTATCTATAGGAATTATGTGATATGACTTTGATTTAATTTCTTCCATCCTCTGTTGATGCATGTCAGGACTTTACTTGACCTTGAAAACAAGGTATTCCACGGGTATATCAAGCGCACTAAAGTTGTTGGACAGAATCTCAATTTGATTTTGTTGATGGCGGTGTACTGCTGGACGGTACAGCAATGGGAGTAAACAAGTTGAAGTCATGCCCCAGGTCTGCCACAGTCAGAGATTTATGGAGAAGCTTTCTGTGAAATCACTGCATCATATATACATGCAGTATGAGGAACAGAATAGCAATCCAACCGATGTTTTAGCCGTAATGACGTCGGCTGGTCCTACAAGTGAAACTGAGGGCTTCATTTGCTGACCAAGGCAAGTCATTTCCCATTTGCAATCGCAACTCGCAGTGTGATTCTTAAGGAAAATATCAACATGAAATGAAATTATGCAATGAGTTCACCTATGCAGTTCTGTTTTATAAAGCCAATACTCCCCATTGCTCTCGTTGCCCCGGAATGGTACCCGGGTTCTCCACCCTTCTGACGCTCTGGGTAATGCAGAAGCTGCAGTGTTGGAGAGCCTACATATTCTCCGGGAAAGTCTTGGTGGGTTTGACTAGGCAGCGCTTCCTGGGAGAAGTCCCATTCGCTATCTGAGCCACGTGTAGAGGGGGCTAGGGCCCTGTGTTGATGATGAGCCTTACCAGCCTGACTGTGCCAGGATCACCCATACCCGCTGTTTCGACTGCGAATTGCATGATCCTGGCACGTTAGACTAACGCTAGTCTCTGGAAATAGGGATTTTTGATAGAGATAGCGAAACGAACAAAGGAGTAATTTTTTAAGCGTTTGAAAACACGTGGTTAGTTTGAACACTTTTAAAACAGATAACTTCCTAACTGTTACTTAACAGCGAAACTGAAAAAAACAACAGGCTTGTTATAATACATAGTTGAGCTACACTAACCTGCAGTCTGTAGGGCTGTCTGTAGGGCTGTCTGTCGAGGCACGGGATGTCTTGATGATGCCCTTGAAGCCATTTAGGTGTTGTGTGGGGTAAATATAAGCTGTCCACCCCACTGCACACATACACAACCCTAAGCGGGATACTGTGGCTTTTGTCACAGGTTTATGTCGCTTGGGTAGCTAACAAACAACTGAGTCTCTGTCCCGCGTGAGGCTGCAGTTCATTCAGTACTGTCAGTACACACACGCGAGTATCCGGAGTATAGGCTGAGAGCGATATTTGTCACACATCTTTCCCGGGTCTCGGCTGTTTTAGTAGATCAGCTATTCTGAAAGTACTGTCCGTAACGACTATTATTTAAACTATTAAAGTTTGAAGTCTATGCCCCGACGATAGGAAAATAAGAACCACAAGTTTTAACACTTTCTTTTACCGGAAAAAGCGCTTTAAAATACTCAAAAACTAGACTTGTGTCCCACGTTTGGTGTCTTTGCTGTGTGAAGATATATGTCATTTTGCTACGTGCTATATTACGAGGGGCGAACAAAAAGTATGTAGACTCACCAAGAAATCGATACAAATGCAGTTGTTTTTATGGTTTATTTTTCTACATATCATCTGTCAAGCTCAAGCAATTTGGTTTTGCTATGTTCCATTCTCACGATCCCCATTTTGTTTGACCTTTTCTTGGTACCCTCAAAAATCTACAGTAAATGCATCAAAACTTCAGGAAACAAAATATGCAAGAAATATTTTGTGTGTTTGAGAATGATAGAAGTCCCCTAGAATCACACTTAGATATTAAAGTTCATAAAAAAGCAATAAAATTTGAAGTTACAATCGTTTGTTAAAGTGACTCCCCACTTCATGTTGACTGAAAGAGCTTGTTTTGGAGACACTACCCATCCCCCTTTCAGATGACGTAATCATAAGGGCATAGCTTATTCTAATGTTTTCACTTATGCATACATGATGCCAAGGGTTCAAACGAAATACTGAATGGTCACACCTCACTATATATTGTAAACCATGCCAGCTTGAATATCTGGACACAATGTTTTTGAAAGATTAAAATGGGGGGTGTCCTAAAAATAGCCCCCGACTAAATATAAATCAGGCAATCCAAATCTTTGACTGTTGATCATGACGGGAAGTCATCCAATACTATACTGAACTCATTTTATATGACATTATCTGAGGGTATACCATTATCCAAGAGGTACCAAAAGACAAATCGTTTATAATTTTCGGCAATTTTGTTAGAAATATTATAACCCAATGTGTTGTGATGACAAATATCTGGTTAACCACATTACCCACACATGTGAAATTTTGGATATGGCTTTGCTAACGATTCCTTCAAAATATAATGGAAGCTTTTCAAACATTGGACATCGAGAATATAATTAGGCTACGTACTTTTTGATCGACCCTTGTATGCTTGGTAAACAAGACTGGTGTGGACATTTATATGCTTATTCCAGAATATCTCAGTGAGAAAATTTAAGAAGCGATTTGATGAAGTCATTTCACGTTACCTCTCACATCACGAGACGACTAGTAGTTGTGTGAAGACCACTTTCCACCCTGGCTACTCAGCCTATGCCCACTGTTCCTACGAGGTGAACATTACCGTTATTGTCTTTACTGCTACTCTTTATTGTATTGCTTTTGTATCGCCTTTGTTATGATTTGTATTGATCTCTAAACTAATTAGCTTATGGACCATGTTTAATCTGTTGTAAACAACTTGTGAGGTGAAATGGGGGTTTAACGTAGCACTTTTAACAATATCTCGCTCATATGACGACGTGCATGCGTGTGTATATGTGGCTACTTGTACTAGCCCAGACTTTAGCTGGTTTTAGAGCTAGCTCACTGAGATACCATGTCGCAGTGAAGCATGAATACCCCACTCAGACACATTATACTGGCCCCGAGCAGACCAGTCCTTGTTGTACCCATTAATGCCGAGCACCAGGTAGGGACCATATATTATTTGGAATGACGCGGCTGGGGATTGAACCCGCGACCTTCCGCTCTCCGGGCAGACGCTCTAACCACTAAACAACTTGTTATAATTTGATATATATATTAAATTAGAAATCCATATAGATAACTTTAGCATTTCACTCCGACTGGAAATGAAACATATCCTGAAGACTGCAATGTGTCGTATTCCTTGATTGCTGAAAGCTTTGTTCCAGGTCTTTCATGGGCATTCATTCATTCATTCATTCATTCATTGCTTTGTTCCAGGTCTTTCATGGGCATTCATTCATTCATTCATTCAATCATTCATTCATTCGGCGCAAATGAAAGGTTTCAGTCGTAACGTAGCTAGTCAAACAAAAACGTTACTTGAACAATATCACAAGTTGTGTTTTCTTGACGTGGTCCGATTCCTGGTTGAATGCAAGGAGGTAAAGATCCAAAGCGTTCAGTTGAATGTGAGACAGCAGTAAGGACAGTCGTGCAAAACCTCAGTTTTCAGCTTGCAAAACGCTGACACGAGGAGGTGTCGACGACTGTCATCAGGTGATAGCGAATTGGCCAATAACCAGAACTAATGAAGAGAGCGTCACGATTGGGAGGTCCCGGGTTGTAACACAGCAAAAATGTTGATGTTGGTACGTTGATCCCGTTTTTACGACAAGAATATTCACGTTGGTTAAGATCAATTCTAACCTGGCTCTTCAAGGGTTCTACTCAGCATGACATGATCAGACAAGTAACGAGTTACACCAAGATCAGATTTATATCGTTATGCTAACGCAATAAGCCAACCATCATTGATAAATGATCAGTACTTGGTGCTGTCTTTGAAAATCGGTCTTCAGTAACCCATGCTTGTCGTAGGATACGACTAACGGGATCGGGTTGTCAGGCTCGCTGACTTGGTTGATACATGTAATCGTATTCCAATTGCATGGAACGATGCTCATGATGTTGATCACTGGATTGTCTGGTCTAAACTCGATTATGTACAAACAACAATCATATAGCTGGAATATTGCTAAGAGCTGCGTTTAACAAAGAAACAAACAAATCATTGTATGAGATAACATTTATTTCTTTTTCAAAGAGTTGCTGTAAATGCGCATTTTTTGTTGTTATCTGTTAATACATAGTTGTTATATGTGTTCTTACTTGGCGTGCCAGTGGAATGGTGGTAGTGTAAAAGGCATTAAACAAAAGCAACAAACCCTTGCTATAATTACTGACAAAAGTGACAAACCGTTGCAATAATTACTGATAAAAGTGACAAACCCTGGTAATTACTACTACAAGGGGAAAACGCTTGCCATAGTTACTGACAAAACCTACAAATCCTTGCCATAATTACTGACAAAAGCGTCAAACCCTTGAAATAATTATTAATAAAAGTGACAAACCCCTGCCATAATTACTAATAGAAGCCACAACGCCTTGCCATACCTACTAATAAAAGTGACAAATCATTGCCATAATTACTGACAAAAGCGTCAAACCTTTGCAATAAGTATTTATAAAAGTGACAAATCCCTGCCATAATCACTGACAAAAGCGTCAAACCCTTGCCATAATTACTAATAAAAGTGACAAACCCTTGCCATAATTATTAATAAAAGTGAAAAACCCTTGCCGTAATTATTAATAAAAGTGACAAATCCTTGCCATAATTACTGACAAAAGCGTCAAATCCTTGCCATAATTATTAATTAAAGTGACCAACCCTTGCCATAATTACTAATAAAAGTGACAAACCCTTGCAATAATTATTAAAGGTCACATGCAACCAAAAAATCAAACATAATTAAAACACAATTATCACTTATTCATGACATATAATATACATTGCTGGTTATGAAAAAACATATAAACAAAATTATAAGCGTACAATCGCAAATCAAAAGTGCAATATTGTGTACTTGGGTTTACTTCCCAAGAAACGAAGCAGCCGGGATCCCGAACCCAGTCACAGCGGGTGGGTGTGCACTCAAGTGTAACGGCTGGTTCATTTGCAGATGCCCTCACGGCTCATTGTGTGTGTATATATAGAGATGTTGGGTTTTGTAAATACATGCTCATTTTTTGTGTATAACATTTTGCAATCAACAGACATCATAACATGTCATGTGTTCAAGTATCACACCTGCCTGTCTGTGTAATTACATCATGTGACAGAAACCGAACTCGGGCCATAAATCAAATTGACTGCATTTTGTTTATGGTGTATAGTCTGATTGGTGTTAAGTTCAAATTGCATGTGGTCAGTGATAGCAGCTGTGTATTGAATATTGTCATTAGCAGACAGGCAGGCAGACACACAGGTGTCAATAAAACAAGACATTGAGTTTTGGCTGTGACAACGACATATCTATATCACAGTTAGAAATTCTGTCAACGCTAAATAAGGACATTGCTTTCAAGTATCGAACTGAGAAAGTAACTCGGTAAGAAGAACGTGTGGTGAAACAGACAAATGAAATTATATAAACAGTTAATTTACTGTCATAACATATAAAAAGCTCGCGCCTGTGAGATATCAACAAAACATTAGGAAAATAGCTCACACCAAAGCCTTCACCGAGTATTCACCGGACAACCCGCTTCCAAGCTGCGCGAACCTATTTCACTGTGCATGTGCTATGAGCGCAGCCCAGCTGTTGAAACCAATCGTTTAAAATCCGATTTTGCGCGGTTTTTTTCATTGCGTTATTTTTCAACTTTATAAGTTGAATTTGCATTTTTGACGATTTGTTTCGGTAAGTCAATACCCAAAGGTATCAGAATCTGCAAAGTTGTGTTTTACGTTGCATGTGACCTTTAATAAAAGTGACAAACCCTTACCATAATTACTAATAAAAGTGACAAACCCTTGCCATAATTACTGACAAAAGCGTCAAACCCTTGCCATAATTATTAATAAAAGTGACAAACCCTTGCCATAATTACTGACAAAAGCGTCAAACCCTTGAAATAATTATTAATAAAAGTGACAAACCCTTGACATAATTACTAATAAAAGAGACAAACCCTTGCCATAACTATTAATAAAAGTGACAAATCCTTGCCATAAGTACTAATAAAAGTGAGAAACCCTTGCCATAATTACTGACAAAAGAGTCAAACCCTTGCCATAATTATTAATAAAAGTGACAAACCCTTGACATAATTACTAATAAAAGAGACAAACCCTTGCCATAACTATTAATAAAAGTGACAAATCCTTGCCATAAGTACTAATAAAAGTGAGAAACCCTTGACATAATTACTGACAAAAGAGTCAAAACCTTGCAATAATTATTAATAAAAGTGGCAAACTCTAACCATAATTACTAATAAAAGTGACAACCCTTGCCATAATTACTGACAAAAGCGTCAAACCCTTGCCATATTTATTAATAAAAGTGACAAACCCTTGACAAAATTACTAATGAAAGTGACAAACCCTTGGAATAATTATTAATAAAAGTGACAAATCCTTGCGATAATTACTAATAAAAGTGACAAACCTTTGCCATAATTACTGACAAACCGTCAAACCCTTGCAATAATTATTAATAAAAGTGGCAAACCCTTGACATAATTACTAATACAAGTGACAAACCCTTGCCATAATTACTAATAAAAGTGACAAATCCTTGCCATAATTGCTAATAAAAGTGACAAACCCTTAACACAATTACTGACAAAGCGACAAACCCTTGTCATAACTACTAATAAAAAGACAAAACCTTACCATAATTACTGACAAAAGCGACAAACCTTTGCCATAATTGCTAATGAAAGAGACAAGCCCTTTCCATAATTACTAAGAAAAGCGACAAACCCTTATGATAAACCTTTGCCATAATAACTGACAAAGATAAAAAATATCCATTTGCTTTTTTCGTTATAGTTCTGTTTAAAACTCGAACTATTGTTCTAATTTGATCAATTTAGATAATATTATCCCCCTTGAATGTCCACAATAATATGGGTTACAACAACAACAAAATGTTTTATGCACAATCTTTAGAACAATTAAAGGAGACTTCGTCGTATTATTCCGAACATATACACATGTTTTTTATGAATTACGTTAAAGTATCCTGACCCATCAGTTCCCTCAATTACAATCATATGCAAAGGAAACGAAATGATGTAAATTTTGTATCGTTTTTCTTCTGTTCAAATGTATTTATCAGTTAAATACTCACGCTAATTACAAAGTAAAGTCTTCATTTAAAATATAACCTTCCAAAAGGTTCATGCCCCACAACTTTCATTGTTTTCATATAATGACATTGATGTACAGCAGCTGATAAAGGGTGCTGAGCGTACTCAGCAGATTTGTCACAACAGCTCACTCTCAATTTCCGAGTAGCATCGGGTTTATAGGAGTGTACGCAACGTTCACACCATTGGCAGCATTTCGTGGATGCTGTCCTCGCGATGAGCACTTTTCCAGTCTTCACATTTTCAATTGATATGACATTTGCTATTTTGATTTCAGAAATTCTGATGCTGTATTGATTTCCTTTACCAGAGTGCTGATAAATATTCGTCATTTTCTCGAAAGTCGCTGTTAATTACAAAATATGTATTATTCTATGTTACCCGTGAGTGTAGAATGTTTGCCACTTAGTGCTTACTCCAGGCCGTTGGAACAATAGTTGTCTTCAATGATATTTCTCAGCAGCTTTGACATTTCAAACTCTTTATCTTAATTCACACTTCTAAAATTTCAACGAGTATTGGACACATTTTCCACGAAACTTGGAATTATGAATAAGTCTGTCCATGGTGAATGAATACTGTCCCTAGACAAAGTTTAGGAGAACATTATTCATTCGTCTGGAATAAAATGCACACTTTCTAGGTTGTTGCTTATTCTTTACAAATACCTCTTTTATTGAAGTCCCACGTGTGTTGACAACTATCCGGATAGAGACTGCGGGGAAAGGCAGGACTGCTACAAGTGATATCATCCAACCGACTACATTGGCCCAGGCTGGGAAGATGTAGTCCCCATACTTGGGCGATCGGTATGAATACCCGGAATAGGCAATTATCACCTGGGAAAATATCAAAGTCTTTTCAATCCATTAGAGTATTTCATTCAACCTACTGACACTTTTTATAGAATATCTATGGTGATAAATACCGTTTAATCGAAAACATGTCTCCCGTAACTGTCCTACGAGTCAAACGGCTAACACAGGGGGTCATTTACTTATGACAGTTTGCGGTAGATAATCTGATCAATAACTGAATGAAGACATTATTTCATTGAATTACAGGTAAAATGAATAGTCGCCTAAATGAATAGACTTGTGTTTTTAAATAAAATTGGTCTGTAAGGATCACATTTCAGATGAGTACCAATTTGCATTCAAAGAAAAACCCATACATTTAACCTTCTCATGAACATTGAAATGTAAAATTTGAGTTGACAATCCAAAACGTCCCCCCTTCATCCCGATTAAAGTCAAGTTACCACCCCCAAACTTGCACAGATGCTGCATGACGTTTGACTGACATTTTCCGGATCATGTTTTGGAGATTGTATGTGCGCATCCATACATGATTCCGTATTTTGCACACAAATGATTACAGTTCCAACTCAGCCGGACCATGTGCCTAGAAGAACGGACACGACTGATGATCACGGCCTTTTCAAACATTGCGGCCGTCTAGCAGACAAAGCACGATCTTGACAATCGCGTCCTCCCAGCCATTACGCGCACGTGAGCGTAAGCGTCCACAACACATTTGTACAAAAGTAGGCACTTCGTCAGCCGACAGTCCCTATTGTTTTAAAGTAACCCCCTAACCCACTGTTTCTGATTATGATATTATATTAATGTACCCTAAAATTCTACAACCTAAAGCTGTAGTATCTCACCAGAATTAGCACAGGGCACACGATGCGAATGCATACATGCATGAACCCAGGTATCTTCTCCCCCCATATCATACTGACATCTTCCTCCAGCCTCTTTGTGCCTAAAATAAAGTCAATACACTGTTCGGTAATTTGCTATGGGCTTGATTCCGTATGATTGTTGCTTTGGTTTTTTCGGTTCTTTTTCTCAATCCCTGAAAGCAAGAGGAAATGTTGTTTGTTGTTTAACACAGCAATATCAGCAATATCATGATGCATTGTTCAACATCCTGCATCGTTTATTTGTTTGTTTGATATGTAAAACTGCACACACCCACAGGTCCAAAAACCGGATAGTAAACCATTGAAATAAACGTAACTACAGTAGGAAATACATGCCATGACCGGATTTACGTATGTTTTCAGATATTTCCTAACTTCGGGCATATATTTCATATGAATCTATACCTTTGAAACATATGCTCATCGTACATTTTCGTATGCACAATAACCTCGTTCATGTATGCCATGACCGGATTGTCAGGTATTTCCAAACATGAATTGCAAAACAGATACCCCCGGAAATACATGATCTTACAGTATTTCTGATGCATTCCTTTGAATTTCAATGGGTGCTGAAATTTACGATTTCGTTCTAAGTTTACCCAGGATGGAAACACGTAAATTTACTAAGGTGGGGAAACACTTGTAAATTTTCACATGTGCAAATGTTTACACACCTTAGATATTTATGTATCATACCGGATTTCAGGGGTATGTATATGAACGGTTCATACACCTTCATGTTACCTGTGCTCAAGCAAGATGATCATTTGTTTCCATCATGTGAATTACTTGGTTCATGTAATTTCATTTTCACACATTTTAGTACGTTTGAAATCAACGTTCACGTGACCTCATTATTCTTATCATCAAAAGAGCCTGACTAAGAAAGTGGTATTACGCAAGCTAACATGGCTTATTAAGCTGCGCTCGCACTTGTTGCCAGTATCAGTTACGCTTTGTCTGCGGTGTTGGCAAATTTTGTGAGTGGTGAACAAAGGGCGATGAGCTGCCCCTTCGTCCTTGCAAGTGTCCCTAGCTGTCCCAACAGAATAGCACTTTATCTCTCTTGTAGTCTGTCTCACAGTCCCTGAACCACATTATTTTCCCTGCTGCCAAGCCCTCTCTGCAGTGCTAAAGCCCTAAATAAAGCAAGTCTAGATTTCCACAGGTTCTGAATCTCTAGTCTCCCTGGGGCTCCTTTCCATTTAAATGGGCTTGTTTGTTACTATCAAAATTATATATATTCAGAGACTAAGCATTAGTCTATCTCTCTTTCAGCACGGCCAAATACGCTACACGAACCAACTCGTAATTTCTTAAGTCTCTTCAGTTCGCGCATCAGTACTGTAAAATAAGTTTTGGCAGTACATAATTGGAATATTATTGCACTGCATGTGACCTTTCTTAATAGTCTCACAGTGCCTGAACCATGTTATTTCTCCTTCCGCTTAGCCTTTGCTGTAATAACGCCACACACAAAATAGTTTTTATCGTGTAGCGATTATGTCCGGATGGCACAGGCGGGTGCGTTCTCTGAGTATACCATTGGCATGTTGGGCCTCTGTGCCTTTTGTAAAATTTGTCTTGATTGTCCTGTTTAAATTGACGATCCATAAACCGAGAGTCCGAAAGCAAATGTCACACAAGTAAATGTGATGTTGCATTGCTGCAATTTTCCATGTCGGAGAAGTCCTTCTAACAAGATATATATTCCGTTGTTTGGAGCAGGCCTATGACTATTACGCCCCAGTTTTGCTTAACATCTTGAAGACCTTTAACCTGACATAGACGCAGACCTCGCATGTTCAAGTCCAGATCTGACAGGTGCCGAAAATATTGATTCCGGCAAGAATGCAATATCTCAGTGGGTTATTGTTTTCCTAAGTACGTGGAGTGCTTTCTACAACATTGGAGATAATGGTATCGTTGTCTTCCTGATATTCCCCCGAACGGAAGCTCTACCCATTTATGGTACAATGTGTAAGTTACAGATTTGTAGGGAATAGTCTTAAGACTTTTCTACTTTGACCAGGATTCTTCGAACTTGCAACAGTCGTTTGAGAAGATCAAGAGAGAAAGGGGTAGTGTGCAATGTATTTGGCGGACGTATATGGAAAAAGTTCGAAGAATGTTTCTGTATAAATACAATAATAGAAATACCGGTTATGTTTGAAACGTACCCTCAATCTGATAGCCAGTGAGATTATTGTGAAAGATCGCAATATGTATCAACATAAACGGGCCCAGATAAAAGTACATGTCATTCATTCCCACATTATATCCCCTTTATAGACTCGGGACATGGTTGTTACAGGTAAGGCAAACACTTTCTTCTATAGGTATCTGCCTGTTTCACGCTACATACATGTATTCAGATTACTGAGAAAAGTAGCGACGCAGGTTCTCCTCCATCACACATATAATTGTATAGATATCCAGTGATTAGGGATAGCGCTGCAGCAACTTATTGACATTTACGACATACACTATCATCTGCAGTAGTACTGCTATACCCAGCATCGTATTTATTTCTCTCTTACATAAGGTGAAATGTCACAGGGTTGTCATGGTAACGATAATTTGGCATACTATTCATTGTCTTATTCTTTTATCTGCGATTAGAATTTAAATCAGTTTTGGCGTGAGCAGCTTTAGAGAAAAGAAGCTGTAAAACGAATATTGATGTTATCGAACCTATAGGCCTTTGTCAAAGCGCGTTTCAAACCACCTGCATAAAAAACCTTCATGATAAATATCTGCTAATCCATGGCACGATTCCAACCATATCATGAGCATGTGTTTGTGAATCATAATCAAATAGTGATGTTACGGGGCGTCCATGCCGCGTCAAAAACACATGTAAACGCACGAGAATTGCAATACGGGCCCCTAAACCACTGATGCTCCGTAACCTGGAGACACAATTCATGTGATTGAGCGTATGTAGGCAAAAGACAAAATGGATACTCGTGCTGTTATGCTTTTGAATTATTAAGTATTCGTTCTTGTCACGGGATACAAGTATACTTTCCAGATTCAACCAAATGTACATTCGAAGGATATCGAAATCTAGGTTAAGCTATTGGAATCATATTTACAATTAAAAGACTCAAACAATGGTCTGTTGTCGAAATATTTTGTTTTCCATATCTTGTCCCAATCTGTATCCAGGGACCATACAATAGTCTATTATATAGTCTCTGTTTTATCATAGTCAGAGAACGATATTATTTTCCCTTCCGCCCAGCCCTTACTGTAACGCTTACGTCCTAAATGAAGCATATCTAGATATTCCCAGGCTCACCGTCTGTTAAAACGGGTTCGGGTTACAGAGTAAACAATACCAAACACCGGCGGCTGGCGGGGACCAACATCTTCAGTAACATTAACATTCGCAAGTGGTGAGGCAATAAGTTAATGAGGCTAAGGGTCCTGTACCATGCTTGTGAAATATTTATGATGCCTTATATAAAGTCTATAATCTAAGCAAGTCTAGCTATGTATGGCTGTAAGTCACTGCTTGAAGAAAAGCTCCTTTAGAATTTGATTTGGTAAATATTAGTATTTCACTGACTCAATCATATTCGAAAACGCATAGCAGCCTATAATTCATTGTGACTATGATTAAGCCATCACTGTAAAACACAAGGGTTATTTCCTTTGAGTTAACTGACAGGCTTTCGGTATCAAATATTTAGAACTCCAGTCAAAGGTGGAAATATGGCGTTTTTGTAATGCTTTGTTGCACTTAATGATAAGTCTTTGTTAAATGTACATATGATGTTTTTGAAGGATAATCTCAGCTGACTCAGAGACTTTGCACGTGTTGGCTAGAATGCACTTTACCGGGCGCAGCCCTCGTTGCTCCCTTTACGATCCTTAGGGTTAGGGTTTAGGGTTAGGGTATGCCACCCTTTACGATCCTTAGGGTTTAGGGTTAGGCACCCTTTACGATCCTTAGGGTTAGGCACCCTTTACGATCCTTAGGGTTAGGGGTAAGGGTTAGGGTTAGGGAACCCCAGCAGCGCTAATTAATCTTAAAAAGTGCGCCCGGTAAAGTGCAGTACTCCCTGATTAACATTATTATATAATGTATAACAAATCAGACAGCAAAAAGCAAAAATTAAAAACGCATAAGCAACATAAATGATGTCAGGTAGTAAGCTTTCAATAATTACAGAAACTGCTTAGTCATCTAACTTTATGAACTAATTGCAATCACTACAGTTTTCTATAATCTACCCAAGAGATGGATTCAAAATAGGTGTACAGTATATTCCGTCGGGTAACTGAAATTTGAGAAAACGTCCGTATGGGACAACATCTGTATTCGAATCAAAAGAGGCCATCTGACGTAGTGGTGTAACGATTCATCGATAGTATCGATGTTTGCATAGTCAACTATGCGATACGAATGCATCAATACAAAACACATTTAGGCAATACATCGGGATATTAATATCGCAAAGGGCTGTGATACATCGATGTATCGCCACAAGAGAAAGATATATCCCGATACTACTTAAGTACTACTGAAAGTTGTAAAGAGTATTGCATTGGGAAAAGGAAGGAGTCTCTTTGAAATTCTTCTGAAGTGAACCTTGTACTGTGAGACGAACTTAAAATAATGCCGACCTGTCATTTGAACCCGTGCATCTGAATAGCGGTGCAGTCCATTTTACCATTAAGGTGCCGAGGGTATGTAAAGCGATAAACTGTCAGTGTTGGCATTGTCTTGGTTACTGTGTAACAGTGTTGAATGTACTGGCGAATTGCGCATTTATCAAAATCATCAAATTCAATTTTCCTTCGGTACGAGTACGCACTTTCTCTGGGCTTGTAAACTTACTGCTACCCATCGCGGGAACGCATTTACCAGGCGCGTAGCAAGCCAATTTGTGTAGTGTAAGCCCGATAGGCTGCAAAGCTGTATATTTAGTTAGTGTTGAGGCCTTGCCCAACTTTCATTTTCAAAATCATGTCTAAGCCGGGGCTTTTCATGGTGATAATTTCAAAACCCAAATCACTTTATTAGGCATTGGGCTAAAAATGGAAT